TTATGTTTGTTGTGTACTCTTTTCCAAACTGCTATTGAGAACGGTTATGATTAACTCTGATTGGACAGATGTGTTCCTTCTCAATCTACGGCTACCATCAAGCTTGAGCTACTTCCACTGACTGATGGTATAATTACTCTTGATACTTTACAGATTGGTGTCAAGGAGAAAGGTAGTTGTCATCTTTGAAATTGCCATCTCTTGTGAAACTGATTCTGAACTCTACTTATCTGTACAATTTTAACTATGTCAAAGAAATGTTTATCTAACCACAATGAAGTAATTAGTTTTTGATTGGAAATGCTCATGTCATATGGTAATTGTGATTTTGCTGTTAGTTGAGGATGCATTCCTTGTCCGTGATGCACAGTATGAGTAATAAACTTAGCTACTGCAATTAGGCGGCTCTAGTACTTTGTAAGTTGCAAGGACTAGTAACCAGTTTAAGGCAATGTAGAATCTTGTCTATTAATGTGAATGGCATGCTAGATTTACCATATTCTTGGTCATATTTGAAGGTCTTTTACTACAATGCATTTTCCTCTGGTTCTTCCCTTAGAATTTGTGTATTGATTCTTGATAAGTGTTCCGAGGGCTAACTCACTTCAGGTTTTGATACAACAGGTCTGACATATGTCCCTGAGCACTCACTGAAGATAAATGCAACTTCCAGTGTCTCCACAGGGTTTATTTAGGAGGGATAGCAGTAGCACGTTTGGTTTCTCGCGGGACTTTATCTGGAGCCATCAAGGAATTTCGAAGTATCTTTCATAAAGGTAGCTGGCATTTGGCTTCGAATTTATTGTGCAACTGTTGTCAACTGTTGTCACTACGAGTAAGTGACGCCAATTTGTCACGAAACATCTCATGTAAACTATGATGTTGAGAATTCTGTTTGTCATATATACCCCTTAGATGGGAAAGAAAAGTTCTTTGTAGATGAATCCACCAGTGTGAAGTGTATTTGGGATTACCGAACAATTTCAGAGGAATAACTGGGTTGCCCTGTGATTTATGTATTGACCACACAAAATTTGTTTAAACTCAGCCATCATGTGTTTGAAAAAGAGTGAATTTAGTCCTATGATTTTATTACTTCTATAGATATGAGCATTTTCCATTTTATATGTCCACAAAGGGATTCAAATTTGAGGGCTTTCTAGGAGCCAAGAGAACTTCTAAGCGCATGTACAATGGTGAACATTATAAAGCTCCTTATGGTATAACATTATGATAATTAATATTATTTAATAAAAATTTACATTTTAAATATTTAATTCTAAAGTACAACACTTAATTGAAGATTTTATCTCCAATGTATGTATCTAAATAGAAATTTTTAAAAAATCATATTAATATTATTGTATTTATTTCAATTAAGAAATTTTAAATTAATTTTAAAAAAAAAAAAAATTGTTAGCCACGGGATCAAAATGATCCAAAGGCTTGAAAGAAAAATGGGGTCAAAAAGCTAAACAACTATTTTAAAAGGAAAAAGAGAAGAAAATGGAGTTTAGCGCGGAGAATAGAGTTTTCTTTTAGATAAGTATATATCAATCTCAATTTTTAAAAATAATTAGAGTTTCAATTTTTATCTTATTAAATGTTGATATTTAAATTTAAAAATTAATTATATTAAAATATATAATGGGTTTCTAAATTTAGATATCAATATTAAGTAAATGAGATTTCAGTTTTCAAATATAGGTTAATACTTTAATTATTTTTTAGAGTCGAGATTCATATGCACTAACCTCTTTTTTTTTTAAAAAAAAATTATGCTTCAATAAATTAAAGTTCTATTTCTATTTATTTGAAAAAATAATAATAAGAGAGAACTCTAATGAAAGCACAAATAACTTCAAGTTTGAAGGTAAAAAAAGTGTTAATCCAATGACTCCAATCTTAAAAGTACCATTCGTACCTTATTCTTTAATTTAGAAGAAAATTATTAATTTTATTTCTTAGCTTAAAATTTTGTAAGTGTTTATATATACCAAAAAAAAAAAAGTTTTTTAGTTTAGAATGTATTAGATTACAAAATATAAATTTTTGGATGAGGGGTAAGCTTTTTAATAGGCCAAACTTCTTAGTTGCACTCTATACATTATTTTTTTCACAATCAACACATTTCATAATTTTTACTCTCAATTAACACTTTTCATAATTTTAAACTTGTAAAAAATCTTAAATTACTAAAAAAATTAAGGTGCAAATAAAGAGTTTAACTATTAATTTTTTAGGTTTTTTACAAGTTTCAAATTATGAAAGGTATTGATTTAAAGTAAAAATTTTAAAAGATATTGACCGCAAAAAAAAAAAAAAAAGTGTAGGGCACTAATAAGGATTTGGCCCCTTGGCCTTTTCCCCATTGGAATGTCCCTGTTTGCAGTATGATATTATTCAAACTACAGAGAATGAATAAGTATATGTATATGTACATGGGAAAAATACATACCAATTCGAACTTTTAAAAAAAAATTAGAGCCCTCATGTTAAAACTATATTGTTTTATTTAATTAAAAATCAATTTAAAATTTAAAAGTTTATATTATTAAATATTGATATTTTGATTAAAAAACTGATTAAATTTTTGAATTTTGAATTAAGATTTCAATAAATATAGGTTAAAACTCCATTTTCTTTTGGATGTCAAAACTAATACGAACTAATCTATAGAAGTGTGGATTAATCTTAATTCCAAAAAAATAATAAATAAAATCTCAACTTTAAAAACATTACTTCCCAACAATATTTTCAAAAAACAATTGTTAGATTTAGTTTTTCATTGATATAAATAATGCATGTTAATTTTCAAATTAATGGAACACATATAACTAGTTCATTAATTATTGAAAATTTATTATTGTTAAATATATATTAAAAAATATAAGTTATTGATTGAATAAATTGTAGATGTTAAATTAATTTAAAAGTTAATATGTATGATCTGAGTCAATAAAACATTAAATTTAATGATTGATTTCTGAAAACATTCATTGGAGAGTGGTAAACTTGAAGTTAGGTTTTTAAATTTAAATTTCTTTTATGAAAATTGGGACTAACATATCTTCTTCTTTCTTCTTGTCACCCATTCCTTGATCTATACAAGAAACAAACAAACAAATAATAATAATAAAAGCAATCAAACTAGCAGATCTCGGATGAGGAGAGGAAGGGGTTGCTGAAGAAGAAGGGTAAAAGCTTCAGGATTCGAGGGCTTTAATGGAGCCGAAGATTGGTGTGAGGGCTTGAAGGCCTTAATGGAGGAAGGGTTAGAGAAGAGGAAACATACTAGGGAACAATGGCGGAGCCACGAAGAGACTAGGGGATGTATGGCCCCCTTAGTCTTTTGAAAGGTTTTAAAATTAGTTCTCAAATTTTTTATTTTAGGGATTTTATTTTTAAATTTTATTGTATTCACATAATTATTCTTAATATTTATGAAAATAATTATCATTAATTTTTTTTATAATTATTTTCATAAATCTTGCCATTAAAATATGGTCATGAGTTAAGAGGGGAGTGTAGAACCCTGGCCGTCACTCCCCTTCTCCCTCCGCCACCATCTTTTTGTCCTTTCTCATTTCCCTCTTTTGATTCTCTATTTTCTTTTTCTTTTTCTTTTTCTTTTTCTACGGTTTTGTTTTATTTTTTTAGGTTTTTTTCAAGAGTTCTTGTCTCCTCTCAAGGCTAGCTTATGTGGCAGTTTATCTTTTTAGATGTGGTATGTGTGTGTTATATTTTTATTTTATATCCTTTTCACTTAAAGTTTAAAGCGGGAGAGGTAGTTAGTGGTCATTGTGTTGTTTTGGAATGATTTTTACAGTACAGTATCTCAACAATTATCTTTCTATCTTTTGTTCTGAAACATTATGATGATTTATGACGTCATTGACAAATAAAAAATTAGATTCAGCTATAATATTGATATGATTAGATTACTTTATTATTATATGTTTGACTAAATGTTTTACACTTTTAAAGTTAAGTTTTATGGTGCTTTGAACGTACTGTACCGTATGAGTTTGATTGTAATCCTTGTAAGTTTGTATTTATGGTGAATGAATTTATTTTTCCTCAAAAAAAAATATTGTTATAAGATTCAAAATAGATGGCTGACATAATAATTAGTAATTCCTTAAGGGTTATCTATAAAATATTAAAATTGTCTTTTAATCTCTATTATTTTTAGCCAAAAGATTGGTAAAAAAAATATTTAAATTTTTAATATTGTTCCACATTGTCCTTCCTTGTTCTATGTTCCTAGAAGAACCTTAGATATATATTTGCCTTTGTAGTGTCTAAAATTAGTCTAAAATATTTATTTTCATCATAGGCATATATATATATATATATATATTTCATATTAAATATTAGAACTTCAACTTTAATTCATAATTGTTTATTGAGTCGATATGTTTACTTTATTTTGTTATTTGTTGTGCCAATTTTTGATATGTTTCTAAATTTATTATATTTTTCTAAATATGTTTTATTATATGCTTTTTTTGTTACAAATACAAATAAATAATTATTTACTAATTACAAAAAATTTCAAATATCAGTATATTTGACATTGAGTATAAACAAATTTGATTTTAGACACAAATTTATAACTTTGTAGCCATGTACTATTTTAATCCTTTTTAGTTGTCCTATTTTATCAACTTTATGTCAATTAATTAAATAATTTTTATATAAAAATTAATAATAACTGAATTTTCTTTTTATCTAAGTAAAAATATTTAACAAACACTATAAAAGAAAAAATGCTCAATGGTTATATATTTATTTTATAAAATTAGCAAATCAAAGTATACATAAAAATTAAAGCTTAAGTTTGTAATTTTAATTTTTAAAATTCAAACAATCAAAATTAACAATTAAAAATCAAAATTTAAAATTAAAATTATTAACTTATTAAGTATAAAATTCTAAAACAATACTTAAAATTTTAAATTTAATTAATTTATAAAATTATTTAATTTTATTCTAAAAATTTTAAAGTTTTAAAA